ATTGTTTAACAAACAAAATGTAATCATTACATGACTTTGTTTACGTTCTACTCGAGATTTTAGACAACAATATCCTACTAGTTCACTTATAGAAGCACGATATCAAACCGGAAAAACAACTTATTATAACTGGTACAATGTGCAATCTTTAGGATACTATCCAGCACAAATAAAATTTACTCAAAAAAATTCTAAAGAAGGTGTTCAATATCCGATTCCTGATGAATATTGTGTTGAAACAAGTTTACTTAAAAAACAAATACAATGTAAAACAAAATATCAGTCAAATGGAAGTGTAAGATTTACAATTATATGGATAGAAAATAAAAGTGAATGGAGTTTACATAGTGATAAATCAGCATCGAATGTAATTAGTTCTTTTTTAAAGGTATTATTTTTTTTAATTTAATGCTTTTATTTATATATATATTATATTAAAATAGTGTTTCATTAGATAATTTATAATTAAACTACAAGCTTTAATTTATTATAAAAATTTTTTAGCATTATAATCATTCTAAAAAAGAGTTATCTGGTCCACGATTATTTGGGTTTGATATTGGTAAATTGCATAAATGCCGAATGGAATTAAACACATCTCAAAATCCAATATTAATGAATCAGTATGTCAATAAAAGAAAGCGTCCATTATCAACAATACATTCCATATCAGGTCAAAACAAAAGACTTGCAACATTTGGAAAACAATCAGGAAATATGATACGTGATCTTATTAAAAGTCATCAATTAACCGACAAAAATAATCAGTCAATAGTTTTTCTTCGAAATATTACATTAGATTATAATGATGAAACTATTTTTTTAAATTATCATACATTTGATAAAAAAAAAGATTTAGTAAAATTAGATGCAACTGTAAGAGCTTGTGATGAATCATTGCTTTCCCGTGATGGATATTGACGTTTAGCTGCTATAGAAACTAAACTTACTAGAGAATATATATTAGCAAGTCATAGAATTGAAATTACTAATCTTATGAACAAAAAAATTAGAATTGGAACATTTAATGTTGATAATATAAATAGTGAATTATTAGAAGTTAACGAAGTAGATGAGCTTGAATCTGATATTCTTGTAAAGGAGTCTGATATTGGAAATGGAGCATATAGGTCTATTCGTACTATACTATATACATTAATTCCTATATGGAAACAATTAAATATAATTAAACTAGGTGATACACTTAAGCTTAAACTTGGTGGTGATGGTCGAAATGTAGAACGTAAACAAAGTCATGTAATGATTACATTTTGTTTGTTAAACAATCTTGAAAATGTTTTAAAACCAGAAAATCAATATTGGTAACTAATATATTTATTATAATATAATATTAAAGATTTATTTATTATCTATTAATTATTAATTAATTAATTTTATTAATAATTTAGTGTTTGTCTTTATATTGGTCGTGAAAAATATGACAATTTATTTAAAGTTGGTAATTTATTTAAATATCAACTTACAGATTTGCAAAATAATGGAATTTATGATCAAGACAATATTCATTGGCCAATTGAATTTTTTTTTTGTAGAGACTGGAAATTTATGTATTTAATTATAGGATTAAATGCACCAAATTCAAAATATTTTTGTTTATATTGCAATTGTGAAGCTAGTTTACGATGGAATATGAATCAAGAATATAATAATACTGAAAATACTATGTGTAAGTTTATTTATTTATTATTATTGTTTTACTAATATTTATTTATTTAATAATAAAATATTATTTTATTAATAGGTAAAAACAAAAAACCACTGGTATTTCCAATAATTGCTCAACAAAACTATATACCTGATGAATTACATTTACTTTTATGAATATCAGATATTTTAATGGAGTGTTTTTTTAATGATTTATTGAAAAAAAAAGATTTTGAAAAATCAATTAAAAATGAAATTGAAAAAACAATGAAAGAAATTAATATTCATTTTGAATTTTTTAAATCTTAACGCATTAATAATAAATGGGATTGGACATCATTAATGGGCTCTGAGAAAAAGAAGCTTTTAGAAAAATTTCCTGTTTTAAAATTTATTTCTGGAATACGAGAAGAAATTGAAAAATTATGGCGTAAATTTTATCAACTTTATCAACTTTTAAAAACACTATTTCCTTCTGATGATATAATTAATAGATTTGAAATTGATGCAAAAAAATGGATTTGTACATTTTATAAACCAGCTGAAGGTGCAATGAATTCTACTTTTCAAAAGCCAGGCTTATATCGAAAAGAAGATATAAGTCCATATATGCATGTACTTGCAATACATATTCTACAGTTTTTGTGGCAGTTAAAAAATAAAAAACTTTCTTTACATATGTTTTCAACATCGGGAATTGAAAAAAAAAATCACAATCATGTAAGTATATATTTAATTTTTTTATATAAAAATTAAGCAGAGATCTTTTTCAATTTTTAATAGTTGTTTAGCGTGTTAAATACAAAATAAAATTTCTTATTATATAATGTAATAGGAAATCTTATTTTGTATTTGCAATACAGCTCTCCTAATACAAACCTGTATTACACTCAATACACTCTCAACACACTCCTAACATATTAAAAAAATCTCTGCTTAAAAATTATATATTTATATATAAAAAAAAAATTCTATTTTACCTGGATTAATATCACCAGATATATAATTACACTATATTATATAATACAAACTACTATAAACTATAGGTTTTATAAATTGGCTAGTTAATGGTTAGAGTAGACGAATTTAATAAATCATATAGATATATATTATAGTACAATAAAAAATTATACATCGAGTGATTTTAATCCAAATGAAAATAGAATTTCTCATATATAATTATTATACTTATTACATTCTATTACATTTAGGTACGCTTATTTTTTAGTGGTACAACAATGGGTGGAGGACAACAAAATCAATCAGTTGTATATAATATTATGGCATTTGAAAATAGACAGCTTTATTATTTAATTCAGCAAACACCCCAAAAAATTCATACCCGAAATATAAATTCAGAATGCAAGGAAAATGAATTAAAATAAAGTAAGCTTATTATATTGTTGAAAAGGTGATTGTGGTAAAATAAACCGGTATTGAAATTTTGGTTTATTTAGTTCTAAATTGTCAGACTTCAAAATCAAATTTGAAGAACTAATAATAAAATATATATATGTTAAAAGAAATTATTATATATATTAAATTAACATTTTATAGCACAGCTACTGTTGATCATAAGTATTACAACTATTTATGTTATAAATTGTTTTCTGCAATCCATGCTTGTTATATTAAACGATGTTATATTATCCATATTTATATTATGTTTCACTATATAAATTAAAGGAATTTAAAAAACATAAATAGTATAATTTATGATCAATGATCGCTGATACCAATATAGCATAATAATTCTGAGATATATCATATTGGTATAATGATAATTTCTTTGATTATTTAGAGAATACCACTTCGCAGTATTTTCTGATTAAAAAATTATCACTGTATCAATAGGATGTTATCTCATATTATTATACTATATTATATAAATATATATAAGAGATATTTATACCTTTCGATAGTTGAGTTTGGTACTATAATATTTGAATTCGATGTTACTATAGTTGAATTTGAAATAAAATCAGATTCTAACAATGGTTGTGTTTCATTATAACTAAAAATTAATTAATTTATTAAAATAAATAAATAAAATATATACAATAAGATAAATATAAATATATACAATAAGATAAATATAAATATATACCTTTCGCTAAATTCATGTG